TATATATATATATATATATATATATCTTTTTAGCATGAAAATGTACAAAGGAGTTATTTTTAATTATGAATTTTATTTTTAATTTGCAATTATCTTCTTCACATTTAAATTCCTAATTTTTATAAATCCTACAATATATTATCAAACAGTTCATCAGGATTTAACATTTATCATACTAAATATTTTTTAGTATTTAACACCCTTAGGATTTACTAAATCCCACTAAAGTTAAATCCCACTTGTTGTCAAACAGCCCCCGAAATGTTGGATCGCACGCAGCCAATGATTGGAGTGATTGATTGTTATAACATGGATCAATCAGATAGGCCTTAGCTTTGTACGAAGATCCAACACACAACCAAATAAAAGAGATTGTGCAATTGATGGGGACATCAGATTTCGACACGTGTACCATCGCCGACGGCGCAGATCGACGGCTACGATCCAGAGCCTCTACTTTTGAGTTTTACAGCTTATGTCATGTATTATTTTCTTAGTTTTTCTAGTTTGCCCCTGAGGGCATTGCTTGACTTATGTAGCCCCGAGGGCGTTTATGTCTTTTCTTTTCTTTGAGTTTGAGCCTCCTTATATGAGGCATTATGCATTGTAATCTTTTAGCTTTTGATGAAATGAAATTTGCCACTTATGATCTCTTTGTGAGTTCACCCTCCTCGATCTCTTAGTGAGTTCGTAAGAGGAGACTATATCTCTTAGTGAGTTCTAGGTGTTCTTGTTCTACTATTTTCGTGAGTTCTTTTGATCATTTCGTCGACGTGGAGATTTGGATCGAAGCATTTGTAGAGTTGGAATTCCCGTTTGAATTCCTCAATTTTTCCCCTACCATTTCTCCCTCTCCTTGCTCTGCCGCCGTCTCTTCCAAGCAATCCAGCCAGTCCCCACCGCCGGCCATCTTCCCTCCAAGCATTGGCCACGGATCCAGCCCCTCCCGTGCAGCCCGCGCCCCTCTCCTCCCCCGTCCTCAACCCAACACCACCCAGCCGTGAGCCCTCTTGACCTCACAGCACCGAATTCCCCTGCACCCGTGACTGCCGTTACTCCCTGTTGCCAGCCCGTGAAATCAAGCATTCAAGGCCTGATTAATTGGCTCATTCAATCAACCATAATTGAGCAAATAATCACTAGCCTTGGATTTCAATTTGAATTTCAAAAAAGGGGTTGCTTATTGTGTACATCTATGAAAGGAAACTTTCCTTTTAGTGAATCCTGATTTTATTACAGGATTTATGTAAAATCTGTTACGTATTTATGTGGGCCCCATTTGGGTAAACACCTAAGCCTTCTCTCCTCCATGTGGCCGGCCCATTGATGGGCTCTTCTCTCCTTCTAATTCGACAACAATAACACCCCAAAATCAGCCCAAAATTATTCCCCTCTCACCGCCCCATTAACACCATTTGAATTAATTTGAATCCATCAATTAACTCCCTCCCACCTCTACCAAAACCGAAAATCCTGCACCCAAATTTTGGTCTCTCCCTTGGCCGAATTCTCCCAAGCCCGCCAAAGCTCACGTGCTTCTCCCGGGAATCCTCGAGCCACTTCTCCTTTGCTCTTGGGAGCGTATTGCAGCGACCACTTACTCGTATCCTCAAGAATGTATGGAGGAACCCGAATGGAATTTCGGGTTTGAGTACGACAACCGCGGAAGGGTCAATATTCTCCGATCGCCTTTCTTCGACGTCGGTTTCGACTTTGACGATACCGTCGAGGAATACTTGGAGAGGATTCTACCACCACTAGTGGAGGCCATCGACGACCACTTCTCCGTCTACACGTGGATCATTGAAGGACGACCACCCACTCCTCCGATTCCGGCTCCCTCCCCGGCGACGAGTCCCCTCAAGATCACTTGTCTACACATAGCGTCGCTAAGCCTACTTACGGTCCTTTTCCGCTAAGCCTCCACTTCAAATTGAGTGACAGATCCTAAGGTGAAGGATCTAAATTTTAAATTTGGGGTTTTGTTATTTTTAGCTATTCGCATTACTTGAAGTTTTGATGTTATTTTGAAAAGCCTTCTAATCTCTGACTGTGATTTCTTATTGTTACTTAATCATTCGTCTTCTAATTCTTTGACTTCAATTGATTACGCATAAAGTTTTGGTAGCAAGCTATGATTCAATATTTCTATTAATTTTTAAGTGCAAATCACATTTTATCGCATGATTGATTCACATCATAGTTGATCTCGACGCATGCATACTGTCCTTGTAAGGGGGGTCGAGAAGGTGGAGGAAGGCTGAAGGAGAGATGGATGGAGATTAAGAGGGTAAGGATTAAGCAAGAAAAAAATAAACTGCCCAGAATCCCAGTAAAGACTGGAGGAGAGAAGGCTGAACGAAAGTTTATTTTCAAAACTTTGCCCCTCAGTACAAAACCAACAATTATTGCTCTTTCGTCATTTCACAAAATACAATAAAAAAGTTATTTTATCTAATTAGCAAGAGAAAATTCTTTAGCTTTCAAGTCTACATATAGTTTTGAGAATAAAATAAAAAGACAAACCATACCGAGTATTACAAATAATAGGGTATACAATATTCAAAAATCAATCCACCTACATCCAATAGGCAAAAATATTATTAGTTCCTTACATATTATGACACTAAGAAGAAAATCGTAGGAACACAAAGAGAGGGGCTGAATTTCTATTTATCCTTCAAAAATAAATGCAAGATACAATTGATTTACTATTCGAGAGCTAGATAATCTCTACCACAAACCCTACCCACCACTAGGAGCCCTCGATGAAACCTAGAATAATTTTAGCAAAACAAAGATAACCTAACCCTAGCCAATAACCCCTTTAAATAGCTATAACCCTCATGAAACACAATAAAAACCTTCCTAATTCTTTCTCCTCTTATTTTTCCTCCTTACATAGTGAATATTAACTTCCCTAGACCCTACAAAAGGGACCGAAATCCCCTCCCTGCCTGCTAACTCCCGCTCTCTCTGGTTCAACTGATCTGAGCCGGATTGCTGGATTTTGCGTGGAATTGTTACACGCATAACAAATGTTAAAAAGATAAAATAAAATCATTGCAAATTATACATCAATAAAAAAAGGATGGAACAACAACTAAATATAAAAACATTTACAAACTTGTATAAGAAAGTTAAGAAATGGACAGCTACACATCACTATAGGGACAACCAACACCTACATTTGATGGTGGAAGTTGAAAGGTGAAGAGAGAT